ATGTGTGTGTGTGTGTGTGTGGTGTGTGTATGCGTGTGTTTGTGTGTATGTACGTGTGTGCGTGTATGCATGTGTGTGCATGTGTGTGTGTTTGTGTGTGTTCTTGCGCGCGCGTGTGTGCGTGCGCGCGCGCGTGTGTGTGACATACGTATAAACTCGGTGTACTGCTGCGCGCACGCAGGGTCCCAGAGGCAGCCGCGTCAACCTCACCTTCGCACTCTTCGACCTGAACTCACGCAGCGAGACACTGCGCGTGCGCGACGGCGTCGATCGGCAGGCAAGCCTCCTGCTCATGCAGTCCGGCGCGCTGGTGCCGCCCCCTCTGCAGACGTCAGCCAATGGCGCGATGCTCGAGTTTAAGACTCCGCTCAGAGACCCGCTGGGGCTTTCGGAAACGGGGTCGGGCTTCGCTGTCGAGTATAGGATCGTGTTGGGTAAGAATCGGGTGAACGCTTTGGGGAGAGTGAATCCGTTAAAGATTTTTCATGTTATTTAATGCTGATTTTATTCTGAAATTACAATCTGATTGAAATTTTGATATTCGATTATTATAATAGTCTACGTGACATTCTTAATTGATAATAATTACAAATTAATAATATTAACTATGTTATAAGGAATACTAATTAATAATAGGTTGCAAAAACACAAACAACCCTTGTTATATGCTCGCCATTTTGGATGGATGGATGTACTAACCGTGCGTGTTTTTTTCATCATTATCATCATCGTCTTCGTCGTCATCATCATCATCAGGGGAGAGCATCGTCACGGACGCCGAGCGCGAGCAGTGGTACGAGAACATCATCAGCGTCGTCGGCATCAGCGTCTGCGCCGCCACAATCGTCATCGTCGTCGGTCTCGTGCTCGTGCATGTGCACAAGCGGCGGCGTCTGCATCGCAAGCAGCTGCTGCTCTACAAGGACGGCACGACGAACACGACGCCGCGCTTCACCCCGCTCAGCCAGCGCAGCTCCGACGACGCCGCCGACGCGAAGAGAGAATGCCTCTACGTGTTCCGCGAGGGGCGCGCCGGTCGCGGCGGCTCGATACCCGGGGAGCGACTCGATGATTCGCCGAGTCGCCGGTCGCCCCCGAGCATCCCGAGCCCCTACCAGTACAACGCCAGCCCCGAGGACTACCTACACGACATCAACGTGTTCAAGGCGAAGGCGGCGCGCGAGGCCTACAAGTGGCAGAAGAAGCAGCAGCAGCAGCAGCAGAGTCCGCGCCACGCCGACGCCGACTCGCCAAACTTTGACTTCCGGAACGGCAAGCACGCGGGCAAGGACCGACATTCGAAGCAGAAGCTGCTGCTGCCCGACGAAACGGAAGTCGCCGCCGACGTGCACGATGACGTCATGCAGCAGAGCATCGAGCAGAACTGGGAGGTGCCGCCGCCGTACGACCCCGCCGAGGGCAGCGCCCCCGCGCGGGAGCGTCGGCCGCGGCCGACCAGCCTGCTGCGCGACGGCGGCTACGTGGCGACGGCCGTCGGCAAGCCGGACAGCGATCGGAAGCGCGGCACGTCATCGTCGACGCTGCAGGACGACGCGCGACGACCGGAGAGCACGCCGACGCACTCCAGCAAGACGTCGCTGCAGTCGAAATACAGCGGCTCCTCTAGGGGGCAGCAGCAGCAGCAGGCGAGCCCCGAGCGACGGCGTCGGCACGCGAGCGGCGCGCAGCTGTCGCCGTCGCGCGAGGAGAACATCCCGCTGTCGGGCCGGCCGACGCCGACGCGCAGCCTCGCGGCGACGACGCCGAGCGACGCGGGCGGGTTCGACATCGGCATGGAGTGGGACATCGAGTACGACTACGGCATGCAGTACGTTCCGGGCTCCTACTTCAACATGTCGTCGGAGTTCATCAACTACGCCGGATCGGGGGCCGGCGGCGACATGGAGACGTCGTTCGACTGGAACATGCCCGAGTCGGAAGCGCTGAAGGTCGTCACTCCGAAGCAGACGACGCCGACGACGCCGACCAACTCGACGCTGACGGCGACGCTGCTCGCGTCATCGGCGTCGGCGCGCACGCCGCTGAGCGTCGTCGCCGATGCGCCCGACGTCGACGACGCGACGAGAGGAAACCAAAAAGCGGGCGACGTCGGCAGTGGCGCTGCGGGCGTGCCGACGGACGTGAAATCAAAAGTGCTGAATGCTCAACAGAACGACTTGAGTAAGACTCCACCGCCCGGCAGTGCCTCGCCCAAGTTAAGTGCAATCAACCTCACCACGTAGACCGAGCGCCTGAAAATAAATCCATAGCTGTACACTCCACGCGCACACTCTTCCCGGAACCATTCATCGACGTCTGGGGATCATTTGCGCACATCGTGGGATCATCCTACGACATCCGGGGAGCTGCGATCTGCTGACATCCGGGAATCTTCTGCTGACATCCGGGAATCTTCCGTCGATATTCGGGAATCTTCTGTTGACGTCGGGGGAATTTCTACTGATACTCTAGGATTTTCGGCTAGCATGCAGTGATCGTCTGAGGAACCCGAAATTCTGAGAGGAGGGGGCAGAAAGATTAGTCAAAATTGAAATGATGATGAGTTTCTGTCTTGTCATCAGTAATGGTGAGGAAGTAGCTAGGGACAAAAGAGTGATTTAGCTAACTCGTAAATGGTAACGTTTAAATAAATTTACATCCGTGAATTAAATAACTCTTTTGTCCATATATATATATATACACGCACACACGCACACACGCACACACGCACTCACACACGCGCGCGCACGCACACACACACGTATGCACGTAGGCAGGTACCCACCCACGCACATTCGTCGTTTAGAGGTCCATCAGTAGGTCTATATCAAGAGCATATAAAGAAGGCCATATTTATATGCTCTTGTCTATATGGATAATTGCGCGGGGCCGTATTATCTCTGTGAGCGGTCGATGTTCTCTCTCGTAACCAGTCACCTCTATTATAAACATATCACTACTGTGTGTTGTAGGCAGGCAGGTAGGCAAGCAGGCAGGCAGGCAGGTATGCAGGCACGCAGGCAGGCAAGCAGGCAGACAGGCAGGCAGGCAGGCAGGCAAGAAGGTATGCATAATGCAGGCAAGCAGGCAGGTAGGTGGGCAGGTAGGTGCGCAGGTAGACAGGCAGGCAGGCATGTATGTAGGTAGGCAAGCAGGCAGGCAGGTGGGTAGGTAGGTAGGCAGGTAGGCAGGCAGGCAGGCATGTAGGCAGACAGGCAAGCAGGCAGACAGGCAGGCAGGCCAGTAGGCAAGAATGTAGGCAGGCAAGCAGGCAGGCAAGCAGGCAGGTAGGTAGGCAGGAAGGCATGCAGGTAGGTAGGCAGGTAGGCAGGTAGGCAGGTAGGAAGTAAACAGGCATGCACGGGCTGTGTGTGTGTGTGTGTGTGTGTGTGTGTGTGTGTGTGTGTGTGTGTGCGTGCGTGCGTGCGTGCGTGCGTGCGTGCGTGCGTGCGTGCGTGCGTGCGTGCGTGCGTGTGTGTTTGTGTACGTGCGTGCGTACGTACGTGCGCGCGTACGTGCGTGCGTGCGTGAGGGCGTGCGTGCGTGCGTACTTGCGTGCGCGTGTGCGTGTATGCGTGCGTATCTACGTATGTGTGTATGTATGTATGTATGTATGTGATCGCTTCTATGTGTAATCAATCATGTGTTAATTCGTGTCATCGCGATGTAATCATACATAGACGCGCTGTTGCAGAGTAATCGCGTCGATAGATGGCGCGCGCGGAGCGTGTACCCACAGCAGGCAGATGACACGACAGGCAGTAAAGTCTTTAGAACATGCCGGGTAATTTCGTTCCTATTCTGCGGAGCAGAGCGTTTCGTTTAAGCTCTGTCAAAGGTAAACCTAATCCGCGCTCACTCGATACATCGCCGGACGCGTAATTAGATTCTTGATACAAAAAACGGGCAGTTTGTCACGTTAACAGCTTTATATAGTAAGACGTCTGCGGCTTTAGAAATGACGGGCTTGTTCGCTGCGCATGGGACGCGTTTGCTTTGCTTTTTTCAACATTCATGATCGTAAAAAAAACATGAATAAAAATGCATTCTACGACTAATATTCAATTACTCTTGCTAATAATTTTTCTCGAAAAGTAATAACATTCTCTAGTGGCGCAATTCAAAAAATGTATCGCCTGGTATTTACATTTGGCGAAAATCACACGCGCGCGAGTATGTATTCTATGCTCGAGTGTTTCATAGCTTTAAAGAACAAAACAAATACGGTGCAAATAGCTTAGCGTGATGCGTTTCCAACTGACGTGTAGGCTTCGAGAGAAGGACGGTGCTTCGTGAAGCATGCGCAAATTAAGTCTCAGCGTGATTGTGAATGGTATCCCTTTATTCCACACGAGCTGTCCTGTTCAGGATTTCTTGTCGAGTCGCATTCATCCATCTTTGAGTGGAGGCAGTTGAGAAAATCGTCTCGGTAATACGATTTATTAACTCATTAATTTATTCGAATTCATAAAAAATTATTCATTATTAATTTCTTCATACGCTAGCGAGAATTTGCGAGCAATCAATCTGTCTGAATTCCAAAGCGTGTCAGGTCGCGCATGAAAATCGCACGTATACTTCTTAACACGACATAAATTCTGCGCCTCGTATCTCATGCATATGGGCGGTACCGGATAATGTGTTGGCAAAATTAATACTTCGCGGACGCGCTGTCTCTCTCGCTCTCTCGCTCTCTCTCTCTCTCTCTCTCTCTCTCTCTCTCTCTCTCTCTCTCTCTCTCTCTCTCTTTCTCTCTCGGGTACGAACTGTCTGTACAAATGAATCTCAGC